TACATTTGTTTTGAATAATTAGACCTGTTTGTCAACTACTACTATGTTAAATGCAAAAAGTAAGCATCATTTCTCTTCATCATGTGGTGTGTTGTCAAAGATGTGATTATTTTCCTTTTAACCTAAATAATGTTCCACCACATTTCCTGAGTGGCAGCCTCACTCTCCAGGTTCTCCGCTCTCCTTGCAATCTCCTCTAGCCCCAGCAAAAAGACTTGCAACTGCTTTCATCTTTCTGAATGTTTAACTTACTTTGGATATCTGATAATATTTGAAATGCCGCTTAAAACTAGCAATATAATGTTTCTTCTGAACGCTCCCTGCCAAAAAAATCTAATAACATTGCATAGAAAAGACAAAGTAACAATTTTCTTTCTTCAAAACCACTCGGCTATGCAATCTTGAGGTTTTTTAGACCTTCAGAAGATATGATCAGCATGCATAGGAAAAGTCTTCCTTTCTCTTCTTACCTTCTTAAGGGTTCACTGTGAAGCATTAATAGCTGTACTGCCTTGTTAGAAAAATTCCATCAACATGCTTTGGGGGATAATTTGATTTTTTAGAAAAAGAATAAAAAACACCAAAGCTGAAATATAGCTTTTATAAGCTGCAAGATCAACTCACCATGTGCTTTTTTAATCTACTGAAATATATACATTTAAAGAGAAAACACAGATGATTTAGCATTCTCTCGTATTATGTCAGTGAGCATGACTACTTTCTCATTTTTTTTCTAATACTCACTGGTGCTCTGACTTATGGGGAAAAAACTTTCATGAAAAATGTGTGCTACTTTTCCGCTTTTGGCCTTGTATGTGCTTCTTCTCTGCCTTAATTACAATATAAATCAACTGCAGAAAAAGATTTACAGTGATCACTCCTCACTTAGAGAGCTGTGAAGATTGATCTGGAAGTAGTATGTTTGTCAAGCCCTGTGTCTGCTCCTTGTCCTAGCCAGCTCTGAAGTGAATCTCAGGGCACATATGGAGGTGTTTCGAAAGAAGTCAATATAAGAACAGAAAAGATGCTGGTAGATGGCTCTTTGTTCTCAAAGAACTTCTGAACCCTTACCCTTCCAAAACTCCTGGGCAAAAGACGTTTCACACAACTGTGACTTCAAACCCATTTACTATGTCAGGAGAAAAGAAGACCACAGCTGTTGAACTTATTCCTAATGATTCTATGTGGTCAACCAGATGAGATGGCAATTGTAGCAGAAATATCCCTGTTTTGAGTGGGCTGATTCTTAGGACTGCCATCAAGAATTTATTAAGAACTTAACTATATCTTCAGGTCATTGTACAAGCTTCTCCAAGAAGGATGAATCAGTCCTTATTTTCATAGAATTTGTCTTTTTCTAAGGTAAGCTCATTCATTACTCTGAAATATCAAAACACACAAACATAGGATTAAGAAAGTAGACACAGCATAATGTGTACTTCTGCCTTTTTGCTCCCTGGGAAGTTTGGGAATGTGCTGAATTTGGGTCTGAACTCAGAAGCTTGACCTAACTTCGCACCTCTCCTTAACACCTGCACTGCCCTCCTATTGCTCCACAGGCCGGCCAGTCTCTTTGACCGACAAAACTGAAGAAGTGCAATAGCATGCCTTTTGTCTTTCTTCTCATAAGATTTATTTGAAAAGTGTTTTTTTGCTTTTAATTTGACTATATCAGTTTAAAAGTGACCTCAGTGATTTCCTTTTCGATGTAATATAATAAAACCTGTAATAAATTGCTAGGACAGCTGATGCTAACTTGCCAACATAACGTCTTAAAAATGTTCTCATTTTCCCAAACAACACTCTAGAAAAAAATCACATTTTCCTGTTCAGTTGTCTCCAACATTTGTTTTCCTATAGCCAAATGCTCCTGTTAAATCATCGAGTGCCAAAGATGTTCACTCTTAGTTCATAGAACCCAGACTGAAATGTAATCATACTTTAAAAATAAAGTATATTCTCAAATCTAGAAATTAGCTAGTAATTGAAATTATCATCACAGTGTTTTAACTGATGACCATTGAACTCTTTTCTGGCAAACGGCTCATAGAGCATTAATTGCACGTCACATTACAGATCTGCGGAGTTAAGTTCTGTCTTGCCCTTGGGACTGCGAGAGCTAAAGCAACTTTGTAAGTGTCTTTCAGAATTGGAAAAAAAAATCATTAAACTGAGAGAGTTCGACTTCGTCTGTGAAATATGTGCTCTGCTGTCCTTTTAAATGTCATTTCCTTAGCATTGGAAAGGTCTATAAGTTCAGTTCCCAGCAATGAAAAAAAGTCATTTCTTTCCCCTCAAATCTGCATTATGGGTTCCATGGTACTAAGAAACAATGGAAACAGTGCCTCTTACTTTGCCCAATATCTCCCTAACTACCTTCCTCAGAAAACCATTCCGTAGTGCCCCCGACCAAAGGATGCAGGAAGAGACGTTGATGCTGGTTTCAGTTTTTCTGAGCAGTGTTTGCACAGGGAATTTTTACAGTCCTATAAACATTTAATGGATTATTTAAATAACTCATGATAATGACTTACTGTAATAGGAACAGGATCCTAATATAGGAATTTAAAAACCTCTCTCCCTGGCATCAATCAACAAATGATACTGCTAGACATAATGTCTACATTATGAAGTTTGTAAGAAGCAAAAGAAGAAAAGTTGATAAAAATTAATGAAAGATGTCTTTGAAAATGCAACCATATGCCAAACTTGATGCAGTCATTCATAGAAATATAAGTATAAATTTAGTATCTTCAAATCTCATTAAAAGTGAATTCATCTTTATAATTTATACAGTGTTTGGTTTGTTTTGAATCAAGTATTTTGTTGCTTTTTATCGTGCAAAGGGTTTTATTTTCTAAGCAAATTCTGAAAACAGAGTAAGAAGGATATAGCTACCAATTTAAACAAAGGGACTCTTTTGACATCTTAGAAGCATACATATCCAGAATCTAATTATAATGATAATTTAAGACTAACAGAATACAAGCTGTCATTTTATTATATAAATATCAAATCATTTGTAATTAGCTATTTATTAAAGCAAGGCTCAGTCCAGTTAAATTTATCTTACAAAATTTGGCTTCCTTATATCTCCATTTTTCTGTCTGTTTATAATAGTATTTCTATGTTTAGATTCATTGGTTTCAGATAGGAAAGAGCTAGTTTGCTCCTGTCTGGATGCTG